GCGGGGGGGAATAAAAATCTATCACCACAGTTAATTTGCTCTGTGTAATCAAAAACCCCTTCAACACAAACTGTAAAAAAATACTGGGTTTGTCATTACTCAATGAATGTATAGCCACTTTAAAAAGGAGGGAAAAAACCCTTTACTGTACCTGAGGAAAAAAAAAAAGTCATGCATAGCCTTATACATTTCCTTCTATACTTCATACTTTTGGCTAAATAGAGATGGTTATATATGTTCATCTCCTTTCACTTGTATCACCAAAAATATAGCTTACCTATAAGTTCCACTATGCTCCCACTGCGGCTCCTGCTGGCAGATTCATCTTTGGATACACTGACCTGTGCAATGCCCCCTGAAGTGGTCAGGGCATGGAGAAGTTCAGGCGGTGGCGTTCTAAAGAGCTGTTGTAATAATTCTAAAGCTCCAGTCACAACATTATGGTCCTGATGCTGGGTGTAATGCAGAGTCAACTCATAAACCTAAAACCCAACAAAGTACCGGAGTAAGTCTCTATGGAGAAACAACATACTACATTTCTTCTCATACACCACATTAAATTTCAGTGATGCATTAAAAATAACTGATACTTGTTATATGCAATCTTTACCACACTCTTCCAAGGGGAAAATGTCAATTAATTTTTGCCATTCAACTGCCTTTTTGGTAGAAGGCTGTTGTTTCTGTTTATTGTTATAAAAAGAGGAATCACATCAAATAGCACTATAATGATTATCAAGTTCTTTAGCTCCTTTGAGAACACTTAACAAGCACTGCTGGTGCATTTTTCTGGGATTTCGGACCATTAATGTTATTTATGAATAATTCCAGTCACTGGACCAACTATCATTTACCAAGATGAACAGGAATTTGAGAAAAGAATTCAGAATGTTCAACATCAAACTAGCGCTGTATCATGCTATATGCAAGATTTATTTATTTTCCTTACAACTAGTACTCTTCAAGTGAGGGTTATTATTAGTAATTTACCTGTATAAGTTGTTCTGGTGAAGGTGAAATCTCTGTTTCTTTTCTTGTTACACCAAAACTGCCCTTCAGGCTGGTATCCTTTACTTGTTGTTGCAATAAAGGTATGAGATACCTTAGTGTAAGTAAAACACCCAGAATTAAAAGAGTAGGATGATCATCTTCTACGGGAACCAACAAGCCTGGGGGAAGAGAAAAAGGAGACAAATCACTTATTGACAGTGGTTAGTTTTAACACACATGTTATTTCATTTAGTCCATATAATAGCTTCTTTATTAAACAAAACAAAAAAAACCCCACACCAAACCAAAACCTAGCAGCAACTTAAGAATGCTTCCTAAACATAGAAACACTTGAAAATATGTGGTATTGAATATTCCTGACAACCACTTAAGCAATGCAGGAGAATAGTCACAGGACCCTATCTCTTCCTTCCCTGTTCCTAAATGAAGAAAATTATTTTTTGTAATACCTGATGCTTTCACCAAGTGATCTAGACTCTCTTGCTGTCCTCAACTGCATCCTCTTTGCACTTGGCAGTTTAAGTAAGGCCAAATATAATTCCCCCACACACACACACTCGCTACTATTCTAATAAATTACATGCACACTTCTGCCTCCTCCCTCAAGAATTGGGAACCTTTTTCCACATACCTGTTAACCAGAGTCAAACCCAAAACATATTAAGAACAAATATAAGTTATGTAAGACAACACAACCTTCTAGTCAAGAAAAAAAAAATCAGAATCAATCTGTGAAGTTCCTATTAATGCTCCTGTCTGAATTCAGGACCATTACCAGGACTTTATAAAATATCACCTTTGAGGCAGAAAGAACAATGTGTGCACAGAAGGACACCATTTTCAAATCACACAGAATGAGGAAAGTCACTGTGTGGCACTTGAATTTTTCACCCATTCTTAAAAGAAGCAAGGCTAACAGGATAATGCTTCATGTATTTGTCAGTCTTCCTTACCTCTCCTTTTCCAATATAGTCTACATAGTAAAGAACTCCTCATCAGTAACAAAATTGAGGCAAAAGTTTCCACTACAATCCAGACAAGCATCTCATAATAAGTTGCAAAACACCGCAAACACCATGCAAACTTCCCAGCTACAGAAATAACTGAAGAAATACCCAATACAAAGTTGGGTGCTTTAAAAAAAAAAAAAAAAAAAAAAATCAATTTCTAGTCCAAGTCAGGTTTTCAACGAAGAACCTACATGGCACTTCTTCTAAAAAAGGTTACACGGTATGTGTTCATGACCCAGAGAATAGCAGTCATATCCTCCACCTCAGACCTGCTGCACTAACAACCAAGCTGCAGAACAATACAATTCTTCACAGATTTCTGAGCAAGTTTTTCCAGAATCCTTAGACCTCCTCATTTTCCAGCAGGCTAGCTGTTTCCCTAGCTTTGACTGTTTCTTTTCAACACTACTGAATTAGCATTGCAGCACACACAGGCATAAAAATAGCTTTAGTCATATCTTCATCTAACTTAACACAGAAAAGAGAAAGCATTAGCAGTGTACCTGGTATCCTTGCTTTGCCTGAAAACCTCTCGCATATGAAAAGTGTCTTACATGGAAAAAAAAGTTAATGTTACTTATACCTAAAGCAAAAATTTTTTCCCTATATCTTACCTAAAAGTACATTCAATAACCAGGCATAAAAATACTGCATTCTTCGCGAATGTTGACAGATGCTTACTGCTGATCCTGCCGCTGTTCGACGAATAGTAGGGGAACTGGATTTAAGATTAGCTATGAAAGCCTTCAATAAAACCTAAAAACAAAGATATCTTACTTAACTTTTTATAAGAAAGAAGTGAATCAAGTCATCAGCACATGTATTTTCCATTCATTCAAAGCATTACTTAACATACATCAAGCAAGGGCAACTTTTGCCCTAATTCAGACATGCAGCTGTAACACTGCTTTCTGTAACACCTGATAGATAATGCTGAGAGCTTACTGTGCTTCGGAATATAACAGGGAGCACTAAATACGTTAAAGAAAGATACCTTAATCTCATTGTCATTTGCAAAATTGCCAAACGCTGCCATGATTTTTGGTATTGCCGCAGCAAGTGTCTCTTGCACCGATTCTTCGGGTCTCTTACTTATTCGTGTTAGACAGGGCAAAAGGTTCACTAAGTATGGCCTAAATATGGCAAAGGAGAAAAACTAATATGAGATCAGAATAACTGTACCCATCTAAACATTTTTAATTCATACTCAAATTCTGTGGTATTACTAAATCATAAAGAATGTACCTGTTAGCTACATAGAATGTAGGTAAAAAAGACAACAGTCTTCTGAATACAATTTGCAGACATTAAAATAGAACTAAAAAGAAGAATACAATTGAAAAAAAATACAAGTCACTGTCTTCTGAAGTTTTTCCCTCCCTCCCCTCAGAGTCATGTACAGCATAGAACTAAAACTCCACTAAAAGAAAACCAGGTAGTGAAATAAAGCTACTTCAGAGAGAATAATGTTGATAGGAATTCTTCTAACGCCCCAATTATATATTTAAAACTTGAGAACAGTAACATTTTGCTAATATGCATATTTTGTTAAAACATTCTTTGGAAAGGCCATTACTAGGATGTCTTTACCTGCATTTTTGAGGACGAACTAGATGGGCAAGCTCAGCAAATCTCCAGAGTGCAGCACGTAGACTTCTGGAAGCACCATTCTAGACAGTATATAATTGTTACATTTCATCAAACTAAACCATTTCCTAAAAAATACCTATAATATACAATAGTATACAGTTTTATACCATTTTACTTCAACAGATAAAAATGTAAGGTGTCTGAAAGCCATAAGTTTCCTTTAGCCAAAAGGAAGTCAAGTCAGCTCCATGACTGCCTTCATTTTTCCAGCTGGTATTAGGAATTTTCCCAAAATTAATCACAAGCAACAACAAGAAAGATGTCTAACATCTCCACTCTGCTGAAATTAGCTTAAAATACCACAGAGAAAGTCATCAACCAACAAAGAAACACTGATTATATGAGAGTCTAAAAATCACTGGAACACTTGCAGACATACAAATGCAGCACAAAACTGACAGCAGTGGAGATAACAAATAAATAATGTACAGCTCCTGAGTGCACCAAGAAAAACCCCTCCATGTATTGATCTGTATCACTTCCTAGCAGCTTGCATGCCAAAGTTTAGTATCTATTTGTCTGTATTGACACCTTCAGTTGTGCACTTGACTTGAGCTAGAATGCCTTTAGACCCAGTGTCTAAGGATATAGTAAAGCTCCCTACTATTGTTGGAACTATGGAAGCCAACAGATATCTAGGAGAAATTGTGTACCTAATGTAGCTCAAACCTAACCAAAATGCTTCTCAAATCAAATCCCCCTGAAGACAGAGCTGAGATGTTTAGAAACTGTCATTTAAATGTTTCTTATTTTCTTTAGCTAGTGTATCAAAGGCTTATGGTCTTGTTAGCATGACAAGTAAAAAAAACTTGCATCTGAATTACAAAATGTGCATTTTTCAGGTTCAGAGCAAAACAACAGATTCTGGCATGGCTCCTAAAGTGATACAACCGATTCACAAACAAAATTTGGTCTGCTGCGTGCTTCTGCTATGCCTGCTACCCCCCTCTCTTGCCTCTGCCACAAATCTGAGAGTAACGATACAAGAAGCACAGGCCACCTGAACAAAAAAATATTTCCTCCTGCACCTGGTCATAAGGTGCAAAATCTTCAGAGCGATTTTTTGTTTACGTTGGCTGGTTTTTGTTAGTTAGCTGGATGTCCATTTCTATACCCTCAAAAATTTTGCATGACATTAAGGTATAACAATACAGCAAGATACTCATACAGGGCCTACAAGTAGTCCACATCTGACAGAAGAAAAGGTATCCACATTGCTTTTGTTATTTATTTTGTTTTCTAGAGTCCTGTCATTGCCGAAGAAATATAACAAAAACTAACAGCATTACTGTTGACAAAAACACCTATATTTTTTCTGTACACAAGCCTTGCTATATGTTTATAGATGCAAGAGACATGATGTCAGTGATACTGTCACGAACACAGCATTTTTCTTTTGTAGTCATATACATAAAAAAGGCACTTACGAAAATTCTTCCCATGGACATAATAAATTTTGACTTTTGGTGCAAAGAAAGATGCTTCAGTATTTTTACCTATGCTTCTTACAGAAGTACACATCACACATTCACAAAACAAACTAGTTAAAACTTGTATCAGGTCACTTCAGGTCTTGATCAAATGATTCCTCCAAGAAGTTATGTCAAATGAAGAATGTCACTGTTCTCCACCTACTTTTCACCACCCTTTATGGTTGAAGTTATTCTTTCCAGCTCAGTCAATGAAGCAAATACCACGAATATGCCTTATTCATTTGGCTGTAGAGTCACTAAGGTTAACTCAGACTGCTGTTCACACCAAATGCTCACACATTTTCTGCCAGATTAGCCTTCAGGAGTGGTTAAATCTAAACAGCAGGGCCAATAGTGAGGAACTAGGTAGAATACTACATTGAACAGACACAGATCCTTCCAAAGTGAAGCTTTGACCTTGATCTGGAAAGACATACACTACTTATTTACACTAATGCCACATTTCAATATATTGAAACACTTAGTAAATACCATATTTCAAAAGGAGATGAAAGAAAGAAACTCACCTTTTTAATCTCTTTATACAGTTCTAATTGTAACCTAGGAAGATTGGAATCCATCAAAGCCTGCAATAAAATGCATTGAGAACATACTGCATCAGAGGGGAGGCACTTTACAAGCATAAAGTTACACTTGCAATAAAACTGCTTCGAAAAAAGGCATAGAATTATCTTAACTGCCTTAGTATTTAATGTATAACCAAGATAGTGCTAAATACTGAAGAGAGTCACCTTGATCTTTTACACAAACACAAAACAGGAATACGGAGAAATTCCACAAACAGTTTTTTGCAGTTAATATTGACTGCTTTACCTAAAAACAACCTAAAACAGGCCATACGGGATCAGACTACAAGCAGAACCAACTTCACGTGCCTTCTGGCAATCACTAGGAATAGATACTCAGGAATATAACATCAAAACACAAAGATGGTATTCACAAGCAAGAGGTATTCCCTGCTATGCATCCTTACGGGCAAGTAGCCTCCCACTGTGTCTCAAATTCAGGCTGTATTTGTACCTTGACAAACCTTTCTTTCATGAATCAGACCGTTTTCTGCATCAATTTACTACCACAAGGTGTTCTGGACACCAGAAGTATCGCATCCCAGGATCGAATCAAGCATAGTGTGCCAGAGCATAGGCTGTAGTTTGAACCTGCAGCCTGGCTAACAACTAGGGTACACGAAATGAAAGAAAGAACGGAGAAATAGTAATTTTCTGTTCAAGTCAATCATTCCCCCTCCATCTTCAAAATGTTAGAGAAGAAAAAAAAAAGAAAATAGTTCCACTATATATAATCTCTTCCCATGGAATATTCTGTATACGTACAATTACATTTTCTCTTGGATTTCTTTCCTAGCCATACTACTATTCATGAACATTTCCACCACCACTTCCTGAGATTAAATGAGAGCTTCATACAATCTGCAAGTGCCTACATTATGGATTTATACAGTGCTATAATGTTTAGTATTTCATTCTTGACTCCTTGCCCAATAATTTAATAATTTCTAATTTTCCATCTTGCCTTCTTGACCATGAACCATTAAGCTCACCTTCACAGGATTGCTCTCACATGGCACATGCTGATGTAAAGGCCAAAACTGCTTAAGCATGGGCAAAGTGCCTGTGGCTCCTCCAGAGCATGATTCCCCTAGCCTAAAATTGTATGCCCCAAAACTTCATTCCCTCCAGTTATACCAGTCATTATAATAAAACGGTACCTTCCCCAGAAAAATCTTACCTAGCTTATATCTTCATGTTGTCATAAGCACCCCAACCACCCCAACTATTAACTGCAGGTGTCTAAATGACAGTAGGTAGGGATAAATCTCACTTACTTCACAAAACTTAATTTTCATGGGAAGTTCACTGCCCCTGTATACAAGGATTTCAAGCAACACAAAAAGGCACCAGCTACTAACTGGGCTTCAAGGGTAAGTTGTCCTTGCAACACACTCAACTGGAGCTTCTTTTTACTAGTGTATACCTGTATTTTTAGCAGGCTAGAATCTAAGAGTCATCCCAATCTGAAAAAATTATAAACACAGTCAACTCTAAATTACTACAAATAATAAATCTCAATTCCTGAGCTCAACTGTACTCCTATCTGTGTGAACAGTCCTACCAGTATCATTAGCACAACATTGTAGATCAGCTTCAGAAACAAAACAGCTTCAGTAACACCTTCCCTGCAGAAACCTGGGAACTCCCAACTGGTATTTTTTCTTTTAAATAAAGCTATTTAAACTTTGAGTCATTTATGTTGTCTGTGAGGTTCTGACAGGTAAGTGTAGTGATAGTTAAAGATGAGCTACAGAACGTGTATCTAGAACTTACTTATTGTTTCAATTTACAGCCTTGTCTACACACTATGAGCATAAACTCCACAGAGACACACAGTTACAGAAATAATGCTTACATCTATATTCTTATATAGAGCATCTTTCTAGCAAAAGAATCAGTCTCTAAAATGCCAGTGGTACCAAAAAAGCTGAACATTGACTAACATGCAAGGGGCGAAGCCCGACGTCTCCGCTCCACTCATCACAAGCATTACTGTTACTTGCACAACCGAAAAAGAAACTGCACACCTTTTTGTCTCTGCATTTATACACAAGAGAGCATCTTCAGAAAGACTAAGTTGCTTCCACACAGCATAAAACGTAGAAACAGAATTCAAATTATAACCAGGTTCAATAAAGTTTTGATACATTCATGTAGTTGGAATATCACAACAATTACCATTTCATAGCTGTGACCACCTGGCAAGCTTAAAGACTGATAGACTCCATCATTTAAAATCACTTTAATGTTTAAAACAAACCAAACTGCCATACAAAGACTTTGGGGAAAAAAAAAAGTTTTCAATTATCTTGAAACACACCAGAAAGCAACAATATTGAATAGATCAGTGAATTAAAGAGGTCAATTTTATACCAAGCCTACAGAAGAGTTTGGTGGAAAGGAGGAGGTAAGTTTGCATTATTTATAGCTGTTTCAGAGCACCTTTTAAAGCAAATTAAGTTACATAATGGTGTACGCATTTCATAGAGTGCTAAACTCCTGCAAATGGAAAAACATTTAAATCAGAATAAATAGAGCAAAGCGCTACAGGGTAAAACAAAAAAACCCAAAAGACATTTGCATTTCCTCACTCCTAGTCATTATGGAATACACTATATAATCAGTAAGCTTTCTCGGTACAACTTTCAGCCACAAGCTCAACCCCCAAAACTTAATTCATTCAGATATCAAACAAATAGAACTTAATGGAGAGAAACGCCCCCGGAAATAAGGATGTTTTGTTTGCTTGCTTCTATACACCCCTTTGTGCTAAAGAAAAAAATTTTTTTTCATATTTCTAAAGCACTTAAACTTTGCATCAATGAGATTAATTATGCAATTACATTACATTGACTCAAAGGTCAAGTATTGCAGAAAACAGAAAAGAAAAAAAAAAAGGGCAGGTGAAGGTAAACCTGTCCTGGAAGCAGCAGCTCACAGCAATTATTCAAAAGGTTCATTTTAAGATACTTTGAATCAACCTTTAGACCTTGCCTGACCTCATATAAATGCCCATATGCTGTTCTCCAGCAAGCCCTCCATTCTGGATCACAGTAGGGTAATAACCAATCTCCAGAACACCATATTTATCCTAATTATTGCCCAAAAGCTCCTCCTCCAAGTCTCAGCAAATCACACTAGCCGAATTACACACACTACTACTACTTTGGAATGAAAAGCCACTACATCCTTCAGTCAGCTTTTTAAGAATATTTTTATGTTTCCTCATGTTAAATATCTTTATGCTTTCTGAACAACAATAGAGTATTCCTCCCATAAAAAAAATATTATTTCAGAAAAGCCCACGTTCTTGTTTGGTTAACTTGAAGAGAACAAAGTTAATGAATGACTGAAGAAAATAATAGATTAGAATGATGAATGACAGAAGACAAGTTAAATATCTTGATTTGACCATAAACAGCTCTCCTGTTCCAGCACATATAGAATTTAGTAAAGAAGCTTACTTAACCTCTTAAATTATGAGACATTATCAACAATAAAAACAGCAACTAAAAGAACATCAGTGTGAATTCATGCAAAACACTGCACCAAGAAGAGGTAAAGTCTGGTAGTACAGGACATAAAAGTTCTTACTTTAATAACTTTATTAAGGCATTCATCAGCAACCATTCGGACATCAGATTCCGCATCTTCACTGCAGAGGAGAAAAAGTTCCATAGCAATCCCCAGCAGTTTTTGAAATTCTGGAGAATTTCTAAATAAACAAACATTAGAAAATCATAATGTGCACTATGAAAAGCAAAAACCAATGCTACTTTTGAGGAAGTTTCATAATCCAACTACACATATGCTACACACAGTCATACCAGAGGAGAAGACATTGAGTGGATTAAAGCACTTCGTTAGGAGTTGGGAAATCATTTCCCTGCTCTTTTCTAGATAATATGGCAAAGTGTTTGACCTCTGTGCCTCAGTTTCTCTGTCTGAGGTAGAAAGATAATGCCTACTCTACCAATACTTAAACAAAATTACTTGTTAGATTTTTGCATAGGTAAAAAAAAAAAAAATTGTGCCATTTCGGTTTTAAACAGAAGTTGAGCATTTAAAATCAGCAATTATCAGGAAGCCTCCAAATAACTAACACTCCAATGCAATAAATTAAAGACACTCTTACCTCAAAGACTGAGCAACTATGTTTTCACATATAGTTAGGCAATGATTCACTCGATCTTTCTTGGTAGTTGAAAGTTCTTTCTTTCTAAAAAGAAGAACACAACGATAACGAGTGTGAGATAAGACTTCAAAAGTGAGCAGTGACCATTCAAACACTCTTGCTAGATGGTGTCTAATGATTATACAAGAAAAAGATGCATTCTTCTGGTCATTTAAACAGCTGTATACCAACTACCTGTAGTCCCTGGACTTCATATAGTAACTGCTGCCGAGAGCACGCAGGCACACAAGCACCCACACATCCCACACATAACATCACCCTAGACTTCTTTTGTCTGGCAAATTCTTGAAACTTAAGAGTTCTATCAAACTGACCATTTTGTATCTGAACTGGAAAGGATGATGGGGCAATCCCATCATGTGCCACATTCCTCCAAATGGTTTTGTAACTATAAAAATAGCAAAGCTCTGAGCACAGTCTATGCCCATCAAGAATAACATCCCTATAGTAACTCTTGGTATAGTCCAGGAAAGGCCAAGTTTAGACAACTCAAAGCAAATGAGTGTAAAACAAAGAATAAGATACACAGAATCAAAGAAGGCATATCTACAAGTGATGCAGAGCGCACACTGACAAGCATCTACTTTTCCAAATTTGTTTAACATTCACTTCAACACTATTAAGCTCCAATAACCCTTTACAGCTGAATCTAGAACAGAAGCTTCTTCCCTGCTCCACCCCCAACAAAGGGACTGGAAAAAAAGAGAGTGAGAGACATTCACAACTACGACCGAAAGTATTTCATTGCATGCAGTGTTGCCCACTCTTAACTTTACTAACACAGAAACACTTCTAGGAAAGCAGATGTTACTTTAAATAATTAACCAGTAGGGATACTGGAGCGACACAATAGCAAACTGCACACCCAAAGGCAGGAGGTACCTGCTCCTTCACTCAGAGAATCTTCCCTTTTGTTTTCCAAGTGAAAATTGATCATATGTATTTTTAGCATTTTATTTTCTGCCTTAGACAAAAAAAAAAAAAAAAAAGGCAAAACCAAACAGCAAAATAGTGGTTCCGTACTAGAATTTAGAAAATTATGTGAACAGCCTTGAGTTACATTAACATAGTTAACGGAACATTAAAGACCAACACCAAGTAGCCAATAAGCACGCTGAATTAAGCTAACTCAAAATACATTGTTAGAAAAAAGTTGTGAAGAGTTAAGCTGTAATACTTAAGAGCTTTATGGCAAAAAACAGCACAGTTTTTGAAAAAAAGTCATTCTTTACAAGCACCCCTGTCCCTTTTCTTCTGTCAGGTTGAGATCGGGAAGAAACACTTTTCAACCCCCCAAGATTCCAGTTTTTCTCCCAAGGATCTTTTCATTTCACTCCAGAAATACTTGCCCTTTTAAAAAGTTAAAGGAATAGTTACGAATAATACATTATACAACATTATCATTTGGCATATTTTATTCGGTAAGCTTCAGCATTCCTCAAAAAGGATCTCTTCTTTGGCTTGTGTTCTTAAGCAACCGTCAGCATATGAGTAGCCAACATGAATTTGATCACAATGTAAGTCCTTCCCTCTATCTTGAAAAAGTATCACAGTCTTCAATAACACTTTCAGATCACCTCTAACAAAACAACAAATACTTCCTAAAATGTCCAGCTGATTTTGCAACTTCAGCACCACTGATGTGAACAGAAACCTAAGAAACTGAATAAGTAATTTAAACTTTTATGATAATTTTACCTAGCTTTGCCCACATCTCTTATGAGCACCCTTTTCAGCACACATTCAACCCAAGAACAGAACAGGCACATCTGAACTTGCCCATAAGCTCACTATTTCAGATACAAAACACATTAAAGATAGTGCTGAATGAGACTGCTTTCAGAATAAAGTTCTTCAGCATCTACACATAAAATAGCCCTGAGCAAGGCAGGCAGTAGTGTTCAGTGCTACTCAGACCAGTACAGCTCAACCTCTTGGCAGATTTCTGTAAACAGAGAGCTCACCTAACACGGAATCTATCACCTTACTGAAAGTTACTTAAAAAATTTAAAAAGGCCCGACTAGAGAACAAACAGTGTGAAAACCTAGAAGCAGTACATATAGGCAACAAGTTATCATTTAAACTGAAATAACAGAAACCAGAGGTGAAGACTAACTATCAGTTGCTATCCAGAGAGGCAGAAGAACAAAAATTCAACCAAGTTTGCTGTACTGAATCTTTCGTCTGCCGCTTGGTTATTCACTTCCAAAAAAAATCAGCCTTTAAAGGAATGAAAGAAAAGGTGTAAGATAAACACTTAATGGACATCATGTGCACGCACGGATTTCCTGTGCCTACAGAGTGAGGACAACAGAACAGAATCTAGAGACAGAACACATGATTTTTTTTTTTTTAATTAAAAAAAAAAAGCTCTATTCAAAAGTCTTAAAGAGTCCCCAGGCAAACTGCTGATGAGCATACCCAGTGCAACAAGAGCAGCATCACACATTTCTAAGAAGAGAGCTGAAGCAGCAAGCCCCATGTGTAAGGTCACTTCAGTTTGATGAATAACAGAAGGCTGGAAGTAGCGGTTATCTACAGGAAAACTTCATCTCACACGCAGAGGAGTTTAATCTTCTGCATGCTTCTACAATCTCTAGCCAAGAAGACTAACAAACAAAGTAAGAAAACCAGCAAGCCCAGATAATTTTGCACTCCGAGTTCTGATAGCTGGCTACAAAAAGATGCAGCTCACTGATGTTAATTTTTATTAGGCCTTTTATTATGTGTACAAAGAGTACAGAAGCTCTGAAAGCTGAACCAGCATTAAGAAAAAGGGCCAAGCCAAACAGCCTGACATTAATCTTGAGAAAAGCAATGGGAAACTCAAAAAAGATTCTGTTAATAACAAACAGTGGTAATAGGAGTGGATGAAGAAATAAACTAAGCCCAAATATGGTGGACACTTCAAACAATGTGTAGTAACACAGTCAATGATGGAGAGCCAAATAAACTGTAACAGGTCTACAACATACCTTAGCAATGGTAACTCCAAAAAAAAAAACCAAACCAATTAGGAACCATCACTGAGAAGCACAGCAATAGGTATTATCCACACAGTTCACCTGGTCTTCATTTAAGCAAAAAAATCACGATACATCTATATATAGCACTGACGAAGCCAGCTTCAGTCAAACATAAAAAAAATCCAGAAAAATTAATAAGCACAGAAAAACGCATACTGCTGGAGTTAACAAGAGAAAAGGTGAAGAATCCACCTTTGGATTGATCAAATCAAAGCTAAATACTTTTCCAGAAGAAACATTAACAAGTCATTCTCTCAGCTCACTGATGAGAGATAAAAATGGGTAAAACTTAAAATACTGAATGTTGTGTGACAGCCCATCTGCTTTTTAGTTTCAACAACTAAACTCTGAATTTTTACATCATACTAAGCAAATTTTAAGTTAGTGGGAGCTTTATAACCCAAAACAAGACATCCAACTCCAACCAAAATTTAAGGGTCTGAAAAAACTAAAAATAGATATGGAAGAAAATAAGGTGCCTCAGCAGAAACGTACAGAAGCAATATGACAACAGAGCTCAGTTTAAGTTTCCACAGAAGAACAAAACCAGCAAGAGATAAGACAGGGGGCCAGAAACTGACATCTGACTATAATGCATAATAAAAGGATAACACATGATTATTGCTGATTAAAATCTTTCTAAACAGAAGTAGCTCTTACCTTCTTGGTAAAAGCTTAAATTCAATTAATATTTTAATAAAAAAGGATTAAAACTAGGATATCAGTTTTATCAAGAGTTCAGAAGTAACTGTCTTATAATAAAGTGCAGAAAAACTGCATGATATGTTGTACAAACAATTAACTCTTCTCTACCCCAACCTCTGTGATCCTAAAACATTTCATAGCAGGAGACACACAGTCCTTAGCAGGACTCATTCACTAACCAGATGTAGAATGCTTGGTTTCTATCAGTAATATTTTAAAAGGTTGTTTTTGCCTATTTCAGTAGGAAAGATTTATTTTTTTAGTTATATCATGTAGACATCGCATTGTGTTGCCGTAATTTAAGGCAGCTTATTTTGGGAGAGCAAAAAAAAAAAAGCAGAGGCTGGTAGTTACCTTGACTTTTACTGTAGCAAAAAAGTCCAACAAAAAAATGTCAAACAGTCTAACACCACCTGTAATAACGAGATTACTCCACAACTCGAGAAACAACAACTTCTCACTCGTCTAATTTAAGCAACAGGTCAACTTTGATCTAATAGGCAATGTCAAATATATATCTAACAAAACAAAGAGCAAACCAGTAGCATTTATGCTATGACATTCACCAATTAATTTATACTTTCATTACTGACAGGTAAACTTGTATTCTTTTACAACAGTGACGAGATAGAACGATAGGAAGTTACCATACAGAACTACAAAATATTTAAGTGCTATCTGCCCAGAACCACAATGAAGATGAACATCTCTCCCCTAACCCAAGAAAAATACAGGGGCAATTTTTCTTTACAGTCTATTACAAAAAAACACCAATAAATGCACACAGTATTGTGAATTACATTCGAGAGTAAATTACATTTACTTTCACTAAAAGTTTGGGAAACTTCAGCAAAGACAGCCTCATGAAAGCCTATGAAAGGATTTTGCGGCATAGTGCTCTTACTGAATTTCTATAGCTTCTGAGGGCACACAATACCAGCTGCTTTCTGAAAATATACAGCCCACTTTAAAAAAAAAATCAACAAGAGCAGCTACAACCCTATTTTTTCATGTTTTGAGCAGAGTATGCTCAAATTCAGACCCCCAAACCTAGCAAAACATCCCTCAGCAAGCATCACAAAAGATTTTCAGGACTTTCTCTTGAAATACTATGATCTATCTCATCAGTAACTTTCTAGACAGATTTTTTTCAACCACGTATAGAAAATACCGTAAATAAATGGCCATCTATCCTCCATGTCACACAAAGTATTAGCACAGCAAATGCAGATAACAGACCACTAAGTCCCTGCAGACCAGTAAGGCACCTAAAAACAATTGGCTCACTAAGAATATGAGTTTTTTTGATCTGTTATGCCCCAAAAGTGAAAAAATGCATTGAGATTGTTTGAGACAACACTCTCCAAACAGTATCAACCATGATAATTTAGTTGGCACCTATATCAGAATGTACTGTGGGAGCAGGTGGCCAAGAGCCCGGCTCCACTGCTAGCATCCTCTGCCAAAACACTGTGAAATTGCCAATTTAGAAGTTACCTGCTCCTCAGTCCTTCTGCTTCTCCTGTCGCCCCAATAGCTGGGGAAAAAGCAATAGTGTGACTCATGCATTTATTCCGTAAAAACCTTGGTGTCTTTTCACCTGCTCAACAAAAGTTATTTTTAGAGGATACAAAGGTAAGGGGCAGCAGCACTGTGGCACCGAACAGCTCCTCACCCTGCTCCTTCAGCAATGCTTCCACAGGGGAAACCTGAATCGCATGGATCTAATGCATTTGCCTCTCACGTTTAAGAAAGCAAAACAGTATCAGAAATATTTAAACTAATTCCTCTTAGATCTCTGAACAGCAAGACACAGCCCAAGACTTTAAATGCCGTTTGTCACAAACATCCACGCCAACTCCACGCGGATACACCACAGCTCAGAAGTCAACTTCATGAAGCTCAGCACTTCAAGTTATGCTCAGGGGTTTTAGCCTTTTTTTCCAGCAGCGTATTACCTAAAGATAAGGTTTTCCTTTCGAGAACCAGTCTGTGCAACCCATACAGCACCCCTGCACCTCCCGTTCACTACCCGTACCGCGGCGGCACTTTCAGAGGTGCTTGCTCGGAAAGTTCCTCCGAGCTCACACTCGGAGAGCAGGCAGCTCTCCCAGACACGTCCCCGGGAGCAGC